TATATATATATATATATATATTTTGTTTCTAAGTCACTTATGATCTAACCATTAGCAAATTCGACAAAGGAACTCCATTCAAACAATAAATAAAAAAACGTAGGTATTTTAAATATAAAATTAAAGCACAAAAAAAGAAGTTAAAGATGCATTTCAAGCATGAATCAATAATCTCATAAATTAAATAATCATCAACAGTAAATCATCGAATTATCCATTAACATTTAACAACTCGAGTATCTAACTTAACATATTGGTAATTTCAGAGCTTAGCAAAAACGAAACCTCAAACCAATTTAACAATTACACATGCTACATTTATGATCTTGAATAGAATCAGAAAATGAACAAGTAGGATTTTTATTCATGATTCTTTAGAGGTTGGCAGAAATACATAAACGTACCTAGATTGCAACATTTGATCTAAAGCAGTCAAGTAAAGGCGAAGGAAAGCTGGGGCTTAGCAATGAAGCAGACAGCAACGAATCAGCCTGGGAAAGCTCAGAGTACGACCTTCCATGGACTCGGAACTCGCCGGAAAATTCAAATTACACCAAAACTCGTCGGAACTCAAATCTCTTGCTTTTCATTTCATCTCGTTTTTTAGCCTTTATGCTATGTATTCTTTCTCTATCTTTTTTTTGTGTTTTCTGATCTTTGAAGTAAAGAAAAGAAACTGAAGAAGCTGGCTCTTTTTTTTGCTTGAGAAGAAACAAAAATGGTGGAAAAGTGGGGAGCAGTGGCTGAGTCTTCGAGGATGAAGATGATAGTGAAGAAGGAAAATGGGAGCTTCTCTGAGATGCGCCGTTTGCTGGGTTTCTCAAGGGTAGGGATCTGATCTTGTTCTTCCCTTTAGGTCTCATATATCTAGGTTTTTTAAAGGGTAAGGGCTTTGGGTAGGCTAGAGTGATGGGCTTGGGCTAAAGGGTTGGACTTGGGTTAATTGAATGGGGTCCATCTTAAGGATTGGCCCAATTTTAAATAAACAAGACCAAACATCTTTTTTTTTTCTATTTTCTTCTATTATTATTTCTTTTTCTTTTCTTTAATTAATTAATTAAAAATCTAAATTAAACTACNGACTAAAGGGTTGGACTTGGGTTAATTGAATGTGGTCCATCTTAAGGATTGGCCCAATTTTGGATAAACAAGACCAAACATTTTTTTTCTATTTTCTTCTATTATTATTTCTTTTTCTTTTCTTTAATTAATTAAAAACCTAAATTAAACTATTTTTTGTAGAGATTAAAATTCTTTATTTATTAAAACAACTAATTAACTTAAAACTAAGTAAAACACTAATTTCTAAAGACTAAAAGTTAAATATGTAAAAATGACAATTTTTATGATTTTTTCTATGATTTTAAAATATTAAAAATGCATGAAATGCAACTAAATAAAGAAAAATTCATAAAAATCAATAAAAATTATTTTTGGTCTACTTTTAGGAGTTATCTTCATGTAGGGCAAAAATCACGTGCTCACAGCTGCCCCTCTTTGCTAGGGAACACGAAGGGTTTTCGAGCAAAGATAAAATGAGCAATTATGAGCAATTTTTGCCCATTTGGAAAACTCCATGAGAAGCATTTTTTGGAAAAATCTGACCGAACCTTGCTTCCGAGGTTGCCTAAATATCCTTGGCTATAAAGGAATCAGGTCAGTGTAGTTCTGGAAGTTTTGGTAGCTGGGACTACCGAGAAGCTGTTATTTCACTGTTGTTGCTGCTGTTTCTGCTTGCTGAGCTCCTTATTACACCAAAAGGGAAAGTAAAAAGCTAAACTAGCTAAGTCTATCAACTACGAGTTACAAGATTCCTATCTATAAATCTCTTGAAGCTTGATCTTGAGTCTTAGCTGGTTCTTGATGTGGACTCCGATCTGAATCTTGATGCTCGTTAGCTGTAGGTGTTGGTTCTTTCTTCAGCTTTGGGTCAAGAGGGGACATGCGAAGCTTGTGACTTCAATCATATCTTGAGAAGTCCACATCTTTCTCGGCTTCAACCTTTTAAATTCACTTTTTTGTTCTTTTTCTTCTTTTCTTTATTCTGGATTGAGACTCGTTCTTTCGGTCATCTCGAACCCTGTGCCTCGAGGTCAGACCTGCTCAGATGCCAAAACAAACAAACAAACGAAATTTTTCTGCCCCAGTTTTCACTAGGAAAATTTCGTGAGTTATTTGTGACAAAAGTCTGAACTATTCCTCTCTTTTTTTTCTTTCTTTTTTTTTGTTTTTTTTGTTTTGTTTTTTTTAAAGCAAATGAAATAAGAATTGCATCTATCCAGAAAGGAAAAAATCAGGGGATGGAGCCCTATATCTAAAATGTCAACTTAGAGATTGGAGCCCTAATGTTGGCGAAAAGGCGACTAGGGAATGGAGGCCTTATGTCTAAAAAGGCTCAACTCAGGGATTGGAGCCCTAATATTGGCGAAAAGGTTACTAGGGAATGGAGGCCCTATGTCTAAAAGACTCAACTCAGGGATTGGAGCCCTAATGTTGTCAAAAAGAGACTAGGGAATGGAGGCCCTATGTCTAAAAAGGCTCAACTCATGGATTGGAGACCTAATGTTGGAAAAAAGGCAACTAGGGAATGGAGACCCCATGTCTAAAAAGCTCAACTCAGGGATTGGAGCCCTAATGTTGGCAAAAGGCGACTAGGGAATGGAGGCCCGATGTCTAAAAAGGCTCAACTCAGGGATTGAAGCCCTAATGTTGGCAAAAGGTGACTAGGGAATGGAGGCCCTATGTATAAAAAGGCTCAACTCAGGGATTGGAGCCCTAATGTTGTCAAAAAACGACTAAGGAATGGAGGCCCTATGTCTAAAAAGGCTCAACTTAGGGATTGGAGCTCCAATGTTGGCAAAAAAGGCGACTAGGAATGGAGGCCCTATGTGTAAAAAGACTCAACTCAGGGATAGGAGCCCTAATGTTGGCAAAAAAGGCGACTAGGGAATGGAGACCCTATGTATAAAAAGTCTCAACTCAGGGATTGGAGCCCTAATGTTGGCAAAAGGCGACTAGGGAATGGAGGCCCTATGTCTAAAAAGGCTCAACTCAGGGATTGAAGCCCTAATGTTGGCAAAAGGCGACTAGGGAATGGAGGCCCTATGTCTAAAAGGCTCAACTCAGGGATTAGATCCCTAATGTTGGCAAAAAAAAAGCGACTAGGGAATGGAGCCCCTATGTCTAAAAAGGCTCAACTCTGGGATTGAAGTCCTAATGTTGGCAAAAAGGCGACTAAGGAATGGAGGCTCTATGTCTAAAAAGCTCAACTCAGGGATTGGAGCCCTAATGTTGGCAAGAAGGCGACTAGGGAATGGAGGTCCTATGTATAAAAAGGCTCGACTCAGGGATTGGAGCCCTAATGTTGGCAAAAAGGCGACTAGGGAATGGAGGCCCTATGTCTAAAAAGCTCAACTCAGGGATTGGAGCCCTAATATTGGCAAAAGGCGACTAGGGAATGGAGGCTCTATGTCTAAAAAGCTTAACTCAGGGATTGGAGCCCTAATGTTGGCAAGAAGGCGACTAGGGAATGGAGGCCCTATGTCTAAAAGGCTCAACTCAGGGATTAGAGCCCTAATGTTGGCAAAAAAAAAGCGACTAGGGAATGGAGCCCCTATGTCTAAAAAGGCTCAACTCAGGGATTGAAGCCTTAATGTTGGCAAAAAGGCGACTAAGGAATGAAGGCTCTATGTCTAAAAAGCTCAACTCAGGGATTGGAGCCCTAATGCTGGCAAGAAGGCGACTAGGGAATGGAGGCCCTATGTCTAAAAAGCTCAACTCAGGGATTGGAGCCCTAATGCTGGCAAGAAGGCGACTAGGGAATGGAGGTCCTATGTCTAAAAAGGCTCAACTCAGGGATTGGAGCCCTAATGTTGGCAAAAAGGCGACTAGGGAATGGAGGCCCTATGTCTAAAAAGCTCAACTCAGGGATTGGAGCCCTAATATTGGAAAAATGCGACTAGGGAATGGAGGCCCTATGTCTAAAAAGCTTAACTCAGGGAATGAAGCCCTAATGTTGGCAAGAAGGCGACTAGGGAATGGAGTCCCTATGTCTAAAAAGGCTCAACTTAGGAATTGGAGGCCCTATGTCTAAAAAGCTCATCTCAGGGATTGGAGCCCTAATGTTGG